AACTTCAAAGCAACAGTTTGAAATAAATCGTCCTTCTGTGTTCAGCTCCTCTGTTGGGCAAATATTCAAAGACCCTCTTTGTGTAATGCAGGGTGGTAGATGATGATTTGTCTCCCCCTTAGGGTCATTAACCAAACTGTTCCTCTCTCATGGTGTACTCGGGCACTTTTGTAGTTCAGTGACATTCCAAAGCATCTTTGTGCATGCACAGATCTACTATTGCTTAAAACAATTCAGTATAATATCTTGTTTTATCTATAAAATGACCATGCTTAATTTGTCTTTATCTAAATTTAAATTCTCCTGTTTATGCATTCTATTGGGACAGCATCCCAGCGGTTTAAGTAGTCAACATTTGAGGTGATTATTTTATTTTTTTTAACGCACTCATTAATATGATCAGCCGTTATCCGTCTCCGCCAAAGCTAAAATGCTCCCCAGTGCTGGTCGGCGGGTCAGTGGAGGCTGAGGGCTATCAAAGCAGTGTATTAAAAGGAGCTCTTTGAAGCTTGTAAACCACGGTGCCCAGCAGGTCCACAACACATAGACGCCTCTGATTGGTCAGGTGTGTGTGTGTTTTTTGCTGGATCGATCCACGGAGCTGACATTCTGGAGCATCAAAGCTTTCAGCGCACTAATCTGACTCCTCCCATGAGGGCAGGGGTTGTTTTTATTATTTTTTGCTTTTCTTTTTTTTTGTTTTCTAAGAACTGCTTATACCTCGGAGGGGCTCCTGCATGCTTACCATGGGAGTGTGTGTTTTTAAGGGGTTTGAAAGGGAATGGAAACATATTGAAATCCAGCTCGGACACTGTATTTATCAACCTCTAAATAATGCAAAACTATAGAGAGAGCAGCAGAGAATCACAGGCCCATCCGTTGGGTATACGGTTGGCAGCAGCAGAGTGACACCACAGAGATTCACACACGGCTGCTCCTCAAAGTCAGTTTCCCCTCGCACTGTCTCGGGAGACCTGCGCCACATACACACTCATGAAAGGTGTGAAAATCTGATTTCCCAAAAAGGATCGGTAATTCTCTGTGAGGGTGGAAGCCGCAATCAATAAATCATTGCTAAGTAGATTGTAAAGAAAAAAAAAAATTATTCCCCCTCGGTATCGGTGCATTAGGATTCTCCGGAGGATGGATGAGGCGAGATGGGGGTGTGAGACAATCTCAATAAAGAAGAGGCAAATCATACCTTTGGCATTCATCTGGACTCTGGGAAGCAGCTGTCAGCATGCGGTGTGTCGAGATCCAGGATAGTTGACTCCTATCTGAGGAATACATCCGGCTACAGAGTCCAGGAATGTCTGCAAATATACAAAACAAATTCATTTACTGTCCATAAAAGATACAGCAAGATAGCTCAACAGATCATTTTAAGATTAGGATTTTGATCTCACTGCTCTGTATGGATATTATTTAAGGGAAAAGGTAGACTTTAAACCAATCTCAATTTGTCCCTGAGGCGACATTAAAACTGCAGAGATAATAATAATCAGTAATTATAAAACTTTCTGAAGGAGGCACTATGGAAAGTAAGTTGTCATGTTTTGTATACTACCGTATTTCACTGAACATACCAACAACAACAACACCACTACAATTATTTGCAATCTAGTATTTTGATATTGTCTAACTGAGAGTAAACATGTACTTTTGTAAAGTTGAAGTTTACATACAATGTGTATTGTTTAAACCAGGGGTTCAAAAACTTTCAGACTGCAGCCCCATAAATAAAGGTGCTAGAGACATGGGGGCCCCCCTGGGTTCTTGGAGAGGGTTGAAGCAAAGCAAGGCATCAAGGGACCCCCCTCTGGGTGTCTCATGACCCCCCAGAGGATCCCAACTTATTCCCAGGTTGGTCTAAAATAAACCCAGCTGTTAGATATTTGGAGGAAACTTTACAACATTGAAAAAAACAAAAAAACAAAAAAAAACACACAATACTTATGTGATGAGTCTAAATTAACTTCAAGTATAAATTCAGCAGCTTTTAAGTTACTTTTAAATTAGTGTATGAAATTAACTTTCTTCCATCATAGCAGCCATCAACTTTTTTATCCACTTCTGGAAAGTGATGGAGGACTTGTATTCTGAAGTTAATTTACTATTTTTGGCATCGTTTCAAATCGTTAAAGTTGGCCTATAAAACCATCAGTGTTAATCAAGTTATGATTTGTGGGTTTCAGCCCCATTTTTAAAACACCTTTGAAGTGAAACATTTGAGCTTTAGATAGAAAAAAAGAAAAAGAAGAGGCACACGGTTAGGTTACCACCATCAATGCAAACTGTCCAGAAAACTTGTGTTCAAATATGAACACAAGAGAAAAACACGCTCAACAGTTTTGACCGAGCAGAAGCAACCGTGAAAGGAATACTAAAATATGTCTGAAGGAAAAAATAAACACGCTGTGGAAAAGCGAATATGAATTCTCACTTCACCTATCGACGGTTGGTTGGCGTCTTCCCTCCGTCGGATTGACTACATTACCCATGATGCATCGCTGCTCTGACTCTGAGTCATGTGATTTAACTTATGACAGCCAGAGCTCCGACAACAAACATCAACTTTGTTGTTTAGTGGATGTTCTTGATATGAAATAACTACAATTGCGGCATTTTGGACATTAAATATGCATCTCCTAAATACAAATTGAGATATTGCAGTTATTAATCGCGGACACAGCGTAGAATAATGGCGGAAGTAGAGGAGCAGGTAAGGAAAGCATGCTAACGTTAGCTGGATAATTTTCTGTTTTGGTAACTATACGCTACAAAATGAATGAGAAACGTGATGCTGGACTTCTGTAAGCTGCCTTTTGATTTAGTTAATCTAGTAATATAACAGGCTCTGTCACCTAGAAAGCATACATTCGCTGTGTAGTAGATTTGCTTTGATATCATAGCTGAATCTTTTGTAAATAAAACAGTCTAATCTGTGTAATCTCCAGAGCCTGTTCAAGTGTGATGTCACTGCTGTGTGTGGTTTGGTGCTTTTATACAGTCTTTATTTTTCACGTCCCTTTTAAAATATCTCTTTATTCAGGGCAGAAAACCAAGTGAGGAGTTCACAGATGAGTCTGAGGTAAGAAACACACCATGTGTTGATCTTTAGTCCTCCTGCAGACACACACACACACACACACACACACACACACACAGAGGAAATGTTCATATAAAGGTAAAGAGAGTGAGTAAACTTACACCTAAAATGTCTTGTAGTTGCAGCAGTCTGTCAGTTACAGAATTGATCTACAGCAACATATTGATGATGACAGGCGTGTGCATAGTTCTGTCAGGCATGGGCGATTTCTGAACTCAAATAAAGCTCGCTGCCCACCGAATGGACTTTACTCCATTGCAAGCCTTTATCAACTCCCACCTGATCCCAAAAGGATCTTTGTCAGGTTTTGAGAGGTGTCAAACACTCATGAATTACAGATGGCTCTCCAGATCCATCAGTATTAAGACTGAGCTTGGGCATGTTTGAGTACACTTGTGCTTCTGAGAATTACAAGTAGGCTAAATAAAATATAGCTTTGCACGTAAGCTTTGCAGGAGAAGGAGATTGTCTTTTATAGGAATAAGAGAATGAAATATTAGGGAAAGGCTGCAGCGGATGCTTGCACCTCTCAGAAGGAAAACAATAAAGAGTGGGCAAGAGAGGAGAATGAAGAAAACTTCATACTTCTTTAGAAAGAGCTCCTACATCATTTTTTTGGTCGATACAAGCTTCGTACTTTATGGTTGTTTGTCTCAAACAGGCTAAAAACATCTTTTATTATTGTAATTATAATTTATAATTGTATTTATTATTTACTTTGAATGCTGCGGTTTATTGAAGCCTACTTTGGGTCTGCTGCTGTTCCCTTGTTGGCAGCAGTCTCACTTGACGACTTCAGTGAGTACCTGTGTTCTACACTTACAGAATAAATGAACGTGTGTTTGAATCCGACCTCATCCCTGTGCTGCATGTCATCCCCCACTATCTCGTCACAACTTTTCCTTCCTCTCTTCAGCTGTCCTATCTAATGGGCAAAAGGTAAAAGGCCCTAGAAAATAACTTAAGATTTTGACAGTCAGATACATGCTCTTCACAACCTTTATAATGTGGCTCAACTAGTCTGATAGGTTTGGCTTTGTCTTGTTTTGATGCCTGAACGTGCTGAATAATCCACATAGTCCATGCAAAAGGTTTCATTTGAACTCTTAAGTGCAGTGGATTCAAATAATTTCACAACAGACATGTTGCACACAATCTAACTCACTGTGACTTTTAAACAAAAATAAATTATATTGTCTTCACAAATTCAAACAGCACATGCAGAATCATTTTGATGATTATCGAAACAGTTGATTTTCATTAAGCAGTTTAATAAATATTAAATAATCAGTTTATGGATACATCAGTGCTGTTAGGTTTCCACTTTATTTACTGCAAAAATATTCAGTACAAACACAAAAAGAGTTTTCAAGCTCTTCCATTTTTTTCCCAATTTTCGTTTGTTCTATTATTTGTCACTACGCTGTACATAGTTTTCTGAGGCAGAGAGGAAGTGGAGGGTTGTTTTTGGAAGAGGAATCCTGATTGTATGCCGGTGACTTGGTTCAACCTGTTAAATCTTTCAGAAATGGTTCAAAGAAAAAAAAAGACCAAGTGAGTAGTTGACAAAACAAAAAAGATAACTAACAAGAGATGGCAAAAGTTTGAAAGTAGGTGGTTTCTCTGTGGGGATGAAGTTTGCTTTTTGTTGTTTGATGCACCGTTAAACCTGTGACAAATGCCCTCGCATCAGAAATCTCACAAGCAGAATACACAGGAAATAGCCTCGATATGGCGTTGTTGAGTGGGAAGGGATTGTTTTGAAAATAACATTTTTTCCACGCTATTGTCCCCCACCTCCAACCCAGCAGCACATAATGGCAGACAATGTTTTGAGTTGATGCACCCTCTGGGCAGCCACAGACTGTGCAGCATTGGTTATAAACTGAATTATGGGGGATATTCAGGCTGTGACTGGCCGCAAATGTTGGCTCGTCCTGGAAGGTGTAACACAGTAGAATACTTTAAGTTTGCTTTATGAAATGACGCTATTCATGTTTGTCAGTGGGGATGAAAGAATAGCTTTATGCTGCATTTCACGCGAGCTATAAGGGAAATTTGTCTTTGTGCATTAATCTCCTGCTACACACATGCAGGACGTACAGAATGAAGCCCCGCTAACGCGGTCCTGCTCGCTTCAGTGTCTCGCTCAGTGACACGGTGTCAGCGACAGCGGGAACTGTGGGTGTAAAGCCAGACTCCCAAAATACATTACGTACATATTACCTTTTGCTACACGATATTGTCTGAATGCAGCTGAAAACAATCAATTCCTGTTGTCTTTTCATACAGCAATATTTACTCTAAAAACTGTGTAGACATTATAAGTAGATGAAACAGAAAATGATTTTACGACTCTTTTAATGGATGATCATTTCAATGATTGTTCACTCATTCCAGGTTCTCAAATATGACGCTTTTGTGTTTTTAGTTTACAGTGAATTAAACAAACCTGTTTTTAGTGAATAGTTTTGGTTACAGGTAGTATAATGGAGAGTTAATTAATCTGTCAGCCGATAATATCGACCAATATAAGCATATCACTTCTGTTTTACACTGGCAGTTATCTGTCACCAGCAGAGGGCGCTATATAGATTACAATATAGAGTGCAAAGTGGTGATGCACTTACATGCTCGGTTACTTTCCAGTTGATTGACCATCTTGTCTTAATTATACTGTTTATATTATAAGTGTTTGATAACTGCATCTGAGGGTTCAACTCAATAAATGTGTTTATCTATATCTATCTCTAAAAACCGAACATAGAAAAAGATATCGGCCGATATATCGGTATCAGATTTTCTCTCTATCTAATATCAATATCAGTATCCGCCTCAAAAATCCCACTTCGGTGACGATTATAGTTTTAAGAGCGATGCATCGATCCAGTTTGCTTTTCAGTTCAGAACGATTACAATACATATGTACCGATACTGATTCCAATATTTATTTCATCGTAATTAATAGTGTTATTGTTGTTGTTGTAAAAGCTGTATTAAACCTGACATTGCATTTCTTATTGAAAGAGCAAAAATAAATAAAAATAAATAAAATTATAACACAGAAATGTCTTTGAACTTTGGGCTCTCTTCACATATCAGCAGGAAGCATCAACAACTGTCAGGTTTTCAAATTAAATGTTTTAAACTGAAGTGTAACAATTGAACTCGTGATCAAGGTGCTGTTCTATCTCGTCTGAACGTCGCCATGGAGACGATTTGTGGACAATTCTTACATGGGACGAAACAAAAATATTTAAAAAACGCTTAATAGACTTTTTGACTCAAAGTTTTTTTTCCAGGCACACATTCAGGATCCACTAACAACAGCTCTGTGAACCACTTTTGGACCCTGACCCACCAGTTGAGAACCCCTGACTTGTATATTAAAGTTCACTGAAGTTATGGTCTCATCAACCCTAAGTACGTGACTCTTTCGTTATTTAAAGTGTGATTGAATGAATCCATCTTTTCTGCCTGAACTAGGAGGAGGACAGCGAAGAAGAGCCCAAGCTGAAGTACGAGAGGCTCTCCAATGGAGTGACAGAAATCCTGCAGAAGGATGCAGCCAGCTGTATGACCGTCCATGACAAGGTACAGGTTACAATCCTCCATCCACAGGGGCATTTCATCCTCAAATCTGCTGTTCTGAAATACAGAGTTCAAATTATTTATCTACACATTGGAGAGCTGTCCTCTTCAAAGTTGGTCTTCATCCCCTTTCCTCAATCCGTAAAGGCAGCCCATTCTTTTCTCACCTCCACCTGCAGAATGCATCAAAAGACACCAGACGCCTATTGTCTTCTCCTCTTTTTATTCCCACTCTTGCATTTCGCTCCTCTCCTCTGTTTGTCGAATGTTGATATTTTTTTAAGAAGGCCACTCTCTGTGAGATGGTTAATCGTTGTGGCACCAGCGGCATACGTGCACGCCTGAGCAGAGCAAAAAGTCAAAGCCAGTTATGTCTCCTCACCTGATGTTTTATTAACCGCTATTGATTTTCATTTATTTATTTTTACTTTGAGGATTTGCTCCCTCTTGTTTTTTTAACCTCAAAATAGCAGGCGTGCCACAGCGAGAGACATCGCTTTGCTGAAATTTTAAATTTGATCTGACTGTCCTTCTTGCTGGGATTTCTGTTCTTGTGTACCTGCTGCCATGCAGCTACCTGTGCCGTCCCGCCGTCCCACCCCCCCTCCCTCTCCAATGTGACAAACTCCCACATCCCTTAAAGCCACCGACAGCGCACATTGCCTTATGTTGCCTCATATTTTAAGTGTTTGAATCGGAATTTCATTTGAACAATTCCATTCTGATAAATCCCTTTAAAAGTCGCTCCGCCTCACAAGGTTGAACCCTTTATTTATTTATTTTGGGTTATTTTATTTGGGGAGATTGCAGGGGGCTCTGTCTGACATGCTCAGCTGTGCCTGTAAATATAAGCATTTCATTATAGACTGCACTGAAGCATGGTGGGCTCGCCGCACATCCACATGCTGGTCTTGAAGGGAGGGGGATTAGGAGGAGGGCATGGAGCATGGGCTGGGGTGGAAGAACACACACTTAATCTAATGCCAAAAGCCCCCGGTTTCTATAATTTTTTTGTCCCAGTGGACTCGCGTACACACACACACATACACACACACACATGAATTCACACTTGCACTTTAGTTGAAACACACAACACAAACCAGTTGCTGCGCGGTAGAAATAATAGCTCTGTGCTGGGCAGGGAGGTGATTGGGTTGCATTGGGAGCATGGGAAGAAGTCAGATGTACACTGCATTTATTATGCTTAAGCATTTTAATTTGAGGGTGGAAAAAATGCCATTTCACACTGTATGCTTTAATAAATAGGGCTTTTCCACCCCCTGCAATTTCACAGCTTTGCCTCCAAGCCCACCCAATCCCCACTCTGCCCATGTCGCTCGCTCCAGCTTCAGCAACTATTTTTTTTTATCCTCTTCCACAGCCTTCATCAGAACTAGATTTTTTTTCTCCTAAATCTTGAATTTATTTTAAATGTCTTCTGGTTTAATTTACATTACATTTGTCCCCTTCCAGTTTCTCGCCCTGGGTACTCATTTCGGAAAGGTCTTCCTGCTGGATATCCAAGGAAATGTGACTCAGAAGTTTGAAATTGTGAGTACAATAAATCCATTATCATGATGAAATGACTTAAGCCTACTGATCATTAACACGAGTCATAATTACAGATGCTAATGTTCATCATTTGATGATGAATTATTATTATATATCCTAAGTTATGTCATTTTCTCTTTTCATCCCCTATTATTTATCATATCATATTATCAAATATGTAAATATAATAAAAGCCAGCAAAAGTGATCATGCTAAAACATTCAGTACATTCAATACATTTAAGTCTGTCTGAGACATATTGGGACAAAACATATTTACTATCTAACTTTAGCAAAGACTTTGGTAAGAAAATGCAAAGCTTGATCCAAAGGCAACTGGACTAAGATTAGGATCTTGAAGAAGTTTCACCTCCCCTCCTCTGAAAGGCTTCTTCAGTTTCTAAACTATCTTGTGGACGGAGCTAAATGTGTAAGCCTCTGTGGATCATAACATCTCTAGCTCAGTCCACCAGATACTTTAGAATTGGACCTGAGTCTAGTATATGCTAAACTGACTGAGTCTAGTATATGCTAAACTAACTGAGTCTAGTGTATGCTAAGCTAACTGAGTCTAGTATATGCTAAGCTCACTGAGTCCAGTGTAAACTAAGCTGACTGAGTCTAGTGTATGCTAAGCTAACTGAGTCCAGTGTATGCTAAGCTAACTGAGTCTAGTATATGCTAAGCTGACTGAGTCCAGTGTAAACTAAGCTAACTGAGTCTAGTATATGCTAAGCTCACTGAGTCCAGTGTAAACTAAGCTGACTGAGTCTAGTGTATGCTAAGCTAACTGAGTCCAGTGTATGCTAAGCTAACTGAGTCTAGTATATGCTAAGCTGACTGAGTCCAGTGTAAACTAAGCTGACTGAGTCTAGTGTATGCTAAGCTAACTGAGTCTAGTATATGCTAAACTGACTGAGTCTAGTATATGCTAAACTAACTGAGTCCAGTGTAAACTAAGCTACCTGAGTCTAGTATATGCTAAGCTAACTGAGTCTAGTGTATGCTAAGCTGACTGAGTCCACTGTATGCTAAGCTGACTGAGTCCAGTGTATGCTAAGCTAACTGAGTCCAGTGTATGCTAAGCTAACTGAGTCCAGTGTAAACTAAGCTAACCAAGTCTAGTGTATGCTAAGCTAACTGAGTCTAGTGTATGCTAAGCTAACAGAGTCCAGTGTAAGCTAAGCTAACTGAGTCTAGTATATGCTAAGCTAACTGAGTCTAGTGTATGCTAAGCTGACTGAGTCCAGTGTATGCTAAGCTAACTGAGTCCAGTGTATGCTAAGCTAACTGAGTCCAGTGTAAACTAAGCTAACCAAGTCTAGTGTATGCTAAGCTAACTGAGTCTAGTGTATGCTAAGCTAACAGAGTCCAGTGTAAGCTAAGCTAATTTTGTCCAGTGTATGCTATGCTAAGCTAAGCTAACTGGCTGAGGAATGTGTATATTCAACACACAGAGTTGGGAGTTGTTTTAATGATTTTATATAGCGCCCTCCACTAAAGCTAATAGCCATTTCTTTTACTACGTTACACTGCTCCTTTTGTAGTCATCATGTTTGGGGAGAGCTGCATGTATTGTCAAATCTCTCAACGACAAGGCAGAAGAAGTGCTAGCAAGGCAGAAGAAGTGCTAACAAGGCAGAAGAAGTGCTAATGTTAGCCTGCAGAGTGATGCTGAAGGAGAATGTATTTTGCATTAGATGGGCTTAAGTCCCACTTTGAAACTTTCCCACAAGCCTCTCCACAGATCTGAAGGGATTGATGCTGAACAATAATTGAATTTGCACGTCAAAAACACTCAGTAATTAAGTCTAATTTGTCCGGCACAAAGGGGCAGTTTGACATTACTGCACCTGTTCTCATGCTTCTGACTGTAGCGTCCCCGCTGAGCCCATTGATTCAAGTGCTCCTCATCTAAAGAACTTACTGCCAATTATCAGTCGTTGGCTGAAAGAAACAAAGACGGAGTTTCAGTGAGCAGGAAAGACATCGCTGAGTCGTGCTTAAATGGACATGTGAGCCGGTCAGAGAAAAAAAAAATATGATTTTGACATGTGTCACAAATGCCCGTAGGAAACTGTTGTACTGGAGAAATTGCAGATATGGCATGAGCAAATAATGTTTCCCTTAGAGAGAGACACATTGAACCACAACCATTGAATTAACATGTGACTGAATCTATGCAATGCCATTGATTGTTTCAAAAGAAGCAGCTTTGAGAGAGAAAATAGGTACATTTTACTGAAAGTACTGAATGTATTGTGAGCCTGCCTGAAATTTTTGATAATTAAAAACAAGAAACTCTCCGACACTATAGTTTAACAAGTGCCTAAAATTGTAAGGGCAATTGCAGTCCTCCTGAAAAAGATATTTTCTTGCGTGCATATCTGAAAACGGCTTTAAATATGTAAAATTAAGTAATTTTTTATGACACTATCTGGCATAAAGATGACAGGCACAATCCATCTATGATTTAAAAAAGCTTAAACATTTTGTTCTAATGGAAACTTTTAAAGCATCAGTGATGCATTGTGACCTTCTTTGTGTCATAAAGTTTATGCAAAGCTCCATTCATGGTTTCTCTTGCTTTTCAGTGAGGTTAAATGTCAGACAGCAACATTTTTCCAGCCACAGAGATGCATATTTGCCAGCCTCTTTAAAAAAAAAAGATGCCTTGATATTGTGTCTCCGCAGAGTTCAGTGAAGATCAACCAGATCAGTCTGGATGAAAGTGGAGAGCATGTGGGCATCTGCTCCGAGGATGGGAAGGTGAGATCTCTCTGCTCATTACAGACAGTTACTGATGCCTAGACCTGCAGAGGAAAAAAACAAAAAACAATCAGTATTCTTCATCTTTCATAATTCTTCCTCAGCTTCATATAAAACTCATCTTATCTAACTTTATGCTAATGCTGCAGATCTGAAGTATTTGTTGGTGAATTAGAAGGCAGTGGGAGCATTAAGTGGGGGCTTTATCAACACATAAATCAGTTTTTTTCATGATGCAGGAATTTATAAAAAGCTTGAGCAGATTGTGAAGAGAAGAGGGAGAGGGTTTGCACTCAGCTCCGATGAGCTGTCAGTCAGCCGTCATCTGTCTATCGATACCCTCTCCATGTTCTCCACCCTGTGTTATCTTGTCTTTTCTCATCATTACTACCATCCTTCATGGATTTCCGCAGTAAAGATATGCTCTCTGATATCACCCTCCTCACTTCCAGCACCCCGGTGGCAAAAATAAGATCTTGTCGCACACAAAAAGTGGAGCAGACAATTAAAATCAATGCTGGAAAAATTGCCACACCAATTCAGTTGACTGTTAATCCTTCGGAAATCTAACTTAATCCTTAATCGCT